GCATTTTTGCCATAGGAACTCAAGCTGAGGGTAAATGTCTGTATTTTGTGGCAAAAATCTGGGTGTGGCTTACACTCCAGTGCTGCTTATACTCTCGAAATACGGTAGTTTAATTTAATTTTAGCCATTGAAGAGGACCATGTGCACACTCGTATTGTAAACATTAGATCTGACTGTTCATTTTCAAGTTCAATTCGTACAGTGCAAGTTAGTTCATTGCAAACAATCTTCAAAGAGACGTTTTATTAACGTTATCAAGAGTCCAAAATCCCCCAGAGTGTACAACTGGAATGGGGTTGTGGGACGGCGTAATCCGTGATGTACGTCATTTTTTTTGGGTCGGACTTGTGTCATTCCGTCGACACGATCCACCACGGAAACACTTCCCCTACTCACAATGTCACACTATGGCGTGCAACACAGATTTCGCCTTCCCAGATCTGATCAGTGAAGTTGCGCACTCTGGGGGATTATGGACTCTTGACGCTATAAACAGTACTAGTGCCGCAGACACAACCATGCCCTAGTAAAATATGAATAAATAATAATAATAATAATAATGCAATATGAAACTCGGATGTTGAGCCATAAATAAATGTAGAAGAGAAAAGGACATATGGATACGAGTTAAGAGATGTGTTGAAGCTAGGTGTCAGGACGTCGAATGTTTCAGTACTCTGTCAGTTTTGTGCCTAGTTATTGCACTTTCTGACTGTATAAAGTATCATGTTACAGTGATGGAGAGTTACTCTTAACTCGTATCCATATGTCCTTTTCTCTTCTACAAATAATAATGCAAGTGAACATTTTTGGAGTTAAAAAAAGAGTGTATAATTCCGGAATCGATTTCTGCTCCGGTCATCAGTGGAATTTAGGTACGTGTCGTCTTGCGTACAACGAAGTCGAGTACTAGTCTAGAGTGCGCGCAATCCAGATGTGTGCCATGATCATGCTGGCGAGTTCCACACGCTGAACGCGCAGCGAGTTTCTGTCACGGAGTGCTGTTTACATTACTCCGCTGCTCGGCAAGAACGGCCTGGAACGTACAACGGGAACAGTACACCATCTGATGTGACTTTCGCCGTCGGTGAACCCCACGGGAAGGGTATCAGGATGTGCACACTCTTGGGAGCTTATATTCTCCTCCTCCTCTTAGGTATATTTGTGGAATAGAAACTATTACACATATACAATGTAAAACGGATCAAGGAACTACAAGTTATACTATAATGTACTTGTAGTTCCTTGGCCCTTTTTACTTTTTATAAATGCCGGCTTTGAGTATCAAAGCCAAGTTAGCCCACGTGGGCACATGCGCAGTGATGGTCTCATGATGCATATCATTAATTATTATTCTATGCCGAGTATGATCTGTAATTTGCATTTTTGCACTGCTGCTACTGTTGCCTTTATGCGCGCTGCAGTAGCTAGTTGAATGCAGTTTGGTTTGTCTTTCCTTTGGACAAGAAGTGCTTTCCGTGTCAGGCTGGTAATTTCTCTCCCTCCCTCCCTCCCTTTTGCAATCGCTTGGAGGGCCACGTATACATGGCTGCTGTGTTGCTGCTGCAATGTTGTGGCAGCGCCATCTTGATGTGATGGATTGGTGTTGTAACAGTGTACCCATTTGCTGTTGCTGGGCACCGTAGTTTGTCAGTTGTGCCTGTTTGAAGTTGCCAGGCCAGCTTGTATTGGTGCGTTCCCGTTTGCTGTTGCCGGGACACCATGTTTGTAACGGCGTACCCGTTTGCTGTTGCCGGGGCCGTGTTTGTACTGGTGCGTTCCCGTTTGCTGTTGCCGGGGCACCATGTTTGTAACGGCGTACCCGTTTGCTGTTGCCGGGGCCGTGTTTGTATTGGTGCGTTCCCGTTGAGTTTGCCGGGGCACCTTGTTTGTAACGATGTACCCGTTTGCTGTTGCCGGGTGACATGTTTGCCAATTGTGCTTGTTACAAATTGCCGTGCTGTGCTCGTTATGAGACGATAAGAATTATGAGCCATGCATTGGCTTGTGCCCAATGGCTCTTGCTAACACGGCAATTTGCTATCATTGGTGATATTTCAAAGAGTGACAAATGTGAAAAAAAATAATGGCAAACCCCCCAACTAGGTTCTATGCTTGGTGTGCTGGTGCGAGCAAGTTTTGCAAGCATATTGCAATGTGGAATACATGCGTGTGTATACATAATAATTATTATTACGCTTGGCCACAAGGCCTAGCGGGTGTGTGCACGCACACTTGGGTGTGCGGTGGCAGGTGCATGCATGTGGGTTAAATAATGCTTGGCTCTCCATCCGAGTTCAATATTACACATATGGACCTACATTTTCCCTAAAAATTAGGGTTTAAAATAAACAGTATGTGTTGGCCTTTAATAGTGGTATTCATTGAATCAAAGCAAATTTATTTGGATTTTACACTGTTCATGGTGTCTCCTGTCACTCCGGAGGTGTGGGTTTGAATCCCACCGCTGCCACCAAATGCAATACGCGACCAAGGCAAACTGAATTTCTCTCAAGACTCACAATTGCACAACTGTAGTTTCTTACACTCAGATGGTCAGCCAATTAAACGAGAGAGCTTGGAAGCTCAGGGCCCTACGCTATGCTTTTATGCTTTTTTGCCTAGCTCATCGTACATGTTATAAGAACTGATGGAATTGTCTTTTTCCGTTGATTGGCCACATCACTGTATTGCAAAAACGTTTCAATCGGTTTGAATATTATGAGTTAGGCAAAAGTATTTGCAGAATTTATTGCGGATTGTTATTTCTCTAATAATCATCTACTTTTGTTTTGCTCCTTCTTTAATTTTTATCTCCTTATATTGTAAATCAACAAATTTTGGCCGATGAGAAATAGAAACCTCTCGATTAGAGAGGTTAAGATGCACGTTATTTCCGACGTGACGCGCAGTTTCACGTCAAATTTGAAATCGATCGGTATTTTTGCTCTCACATGCATCCATTGCTCAATCATGCATCATTTGCCTATATGACAAACGTTGGCCTGCGATTTACTTTGGCCGGTTGGTACCAAGCGGCGAAATCAGCGAAATTAAATAGCCAGCGAACATTAGTTGATTTTAATACAGGAATCGGATTTTCTGGCCTTTTTGTAGTAATACATGTACATAATCATTGACCTGTTGAGCCAATGACGACGCCGAATGCATGGTTGCCTGTGGAGCACATTACATAACTTTACAGTCTCCTAAAATACGTATCCTGTCCGACGGCAAAAGAGGCTGCAGATTTAGTTTTTCTGCGCGTCGACGGGATGTCTGCGACGCGAAAGTTCAGCTCGCGTTATTTGGCTCGCACGTCGAAAAAATCAACGCGAGTGACCTGCTGCTCACGTCGAAATTTGGACATTACATAACTTTACAGTCTCCTATATAAATACGTATCCTGTTCGACGGCAAAAGAGGCTGCAGATTTAGTTTTTCTGCGCGTCGACGGGATGTCTGTCCTGACGTTTACTGGGACCGGCGCTGACTCTGCCGATCACGGGCGTTCTGGACTCGACGGGATGTCTATCCTGACGTTTCCTGGGACCGGCTTAGACTCTGCCGATCACGGGCGTTCTGGACTCAACGGGATGTCTGTCCTGATGTTGCCTGGTACTGCCGGACTCTACCGATCACGGGCGTTCTGGAGTCGACGGGATCTCTCTTCCGACGTTTCCTGTGACCGGCACTGAATCGCTCGTTCACGCTTATTTTGGAGACGACGGGATCTCTCTTCCAAAGTATGTTTATGCTGACGCATCCTATCACCTAATCGGCGTCTATTCTAATTTAATTTCCTCCTCGTCTCCCTATTTCTTTCCAAATCCCCCTCTACATCAGGGAGTCGTATGCATAATACGACGAATATTGGTACGGTACGGGACAGATACAGGAGCCCGCAAATATTGTGGACAGCTGTTATGTACAATCCTGTAGAGCCTTTGTAGTCACGGATACGGGACAGATACAGGATAGCGCCAGGCGTGACACAAACAAACAAACAAACAAACACACACACAAATACCAAATTAAAGCTGTGTGGACCCTGGCTAGCGCCAGACGTTACTGAAGCAACGTCTTCTGCATAGCTACGGGAATTATTAAATTATGGTAAAAAAGGAGAGGGAGAACATGTTACGAGTTATGACTATGGCTCAGAACTCCATGTCATGGTCAGCCAATTAAATTATTAAATTATGGTAAAAAAGGAGAGGGAGAACATGTTACGAGTTACGACTATGGCTCAGTACTCCATGTCAGTTTTGTGCCATCGTGTCGCACTTGCTGACTGTATAGGATCTGGTTACGTTGATGGACAGTTAGTCATAACTCGTAACATTTTGTTCTTCTCCGTTTTTACGATAGTTAGTTACAGGGCATAGTATTGCACGGAGAGATTCAGACAATGTAATCAGCGCAGAACCTATGCTGAATGACTCAAGTGAAGGTAAGACTAACAACAACTGAAGCAAAGACTCGGCAACAACTAAACTGGGAAACTGACAGACGAATCTATACACGGTAAAAGATTGAAGTCCAGGTACAGCTGCGAGCGCTAGCTAGCGATCTCTAAATGTAAGCGAGGGACAGTGACCGTTACGCATCACTGGCCACATATGTGCATTGTGTAGAAGGAAGAATACAGATACTATCTGATGTAGGTAACAAGAGACCTGATGGTGCCAGCAATGAATAGTGCGATACATAGTGGTACATAGTGGTTTGTGTAGCAGGAAGTCCGTCTACTACAAAAGTGAAACCCCAAAACCGATAAAACCTGCTATCTGACCATGGATTTAGAGGATACCCGGTCATGCAACCGTTGTCACCATTGAATACCCGGTCATGCAATCGTTGTTACCATTGGATACCCGGTCATGCAACCGTTGTTATCATTTTAAAAAGTCCAAAAAGAAGTACATGTAATTGCATGATGAATACCTTGGTTTGTACTCCAGGCTTAAAACATTCCAACTTGTTCTATGTCTGTGCAG